CCCAACCCCCCCATCCCCTGCCTTGTTACAGCATCTTGCTACAGCAGCCTGCCAATCAATGCAGTTCCCAGTGAGTCTAAGCTTTTCTCTGCCTCTCAGCCTCCAGGTCGGCAGTGGCCGACTGCACTCAGAAGGAAATCGCTCCATTCATCCATTTTCTCACTCTTCTCCAGCCCATCACCATGACCGTCCTGTCGTCTCACCCCAGCAGCACAAGGATGCTGCGTGGCCTCCCCACAAGCTCACTCTTCACCCACAGACCCTAAATGCCACCACTTTGGCTGAAAGTGGTCATAACAGCAGGGTGGGCTCCAGATGGCACTCTAGTGACTCCCAGCCCACTGTGACCTTGCAGTGGACTCACTCAACTATACTTGGCAGAGTGGGGCAAACACAGATCGTGGAATGAGACTGCCTGATTTCAAATCTTGGCTCTGACCCTTGCTGGCTATGAGGCCTGGAGTCCCGTGGCATTTCTTCATCTGTAAAATGGGGACAACAGTAGCTTCCCCATAGGGCTGTTCTAAAAAATATATGCATGTGGGTGTCTTGCTGGGCAAGCCTCTGCGGGCTGTGCTGCCACCAAATCCTTCCCACTGTACAATTGCCAGGTGTGACAGCTACAACTTCCCTTTGAGATGGGTGCTATTGTGACTCACTCCACACAGCTCCAAGTCACAAGGCTAGCCCAAAGTCTCCCAGCTAGTAAGTCCTGGCCTAGGCAGATGGGCCCCCATCTCGGTAGGTGGGGTGAAGGATAAACACAGCCCCACATGCAGAGGCCGAAAGTGGCCAGGAGAGAGCACGCGGCCCTCTGGAAGGGACAGGTGGCAGCTCACCTCGAGGATGCCCTGCTGCTGCAACATCATGCGCCCGTTCACGGCCATGCTGTCCTCCACATCCTGGATGGCCTCGATCAGCTCCTGGCTGAGCTTGCTGAGGAAGCCCTCATGGCTGTAGAGCTCCTGTAACGCGGCTCGCTTGTTCCAGAGCATCAACTGCCGGCGAACGACGGAAGCAGGAGGAAAGTGGTGGAGCACAGGCGTCTGACCCTGCGGGGCCTGGGGACCCTCCCTCTGCCCACTGCCCCTGGTGGTTCCCCTGGTAAGCGCTGCCGATCCCCAATGTCTGCAGGTCAGGACTCCTGGAAATGGGTGTACTGTTACCCTTTCATTCACTGTATCACCTGCATCCCCCCAGATGCCCCATCTCTGAGGCCATGGATCTTACAGTATCTCATCACCGTCTAACAAATACCAGTGAGTAAATAAAAATCTGTCTTACTATCAGTGTCCTCTAAGAATCAATAAAAACAAGAAAGAATGGAAATAACAGCCAGGTAAGTCAGCGGGCTGTGGTGACAGCCAGCACCAGAGAAACAGGGAAAGGCAAGAGATGGGCCACATTTTCTGATTATGCCCTGTGGAAACACTGAGGTCAGAAATGCTGAGATCTGAAGTGTTGAGTGCCTAGCCTGAGGTCACACCCAGCAGGTACATAAGGTCACTAACATTAATAGCAGTTAATAAGTAATATTAATAACAACTGGCCTATGGGACATGAGGATAGGCAGGTGCTATAACCTGCTCTGCAGATGACATGCAGTACTGGTGAAGCCTCCCACTGATAAGTGGAAGCTCAGAGGGGCCCAGAGAGTCTGAGTGACTTGCACACTGTCACACAGCCAAGAAGTGTTGCTGAGACTGAAATGCCAGACTTCAGAGTCTCAAGGTCCACCCTTATACTACCTACCACAAAAACTGAGTGGGATTAATGCTGCAAGGAGCCCCATGCAAGGCAGCACAGGAGCCTGCGCAAGGTGGCACAGGCATCTTAATACCACTGGGGAGGCTGAGGCTGGAGGATCATCCTGAATTCATGGCTAACCTAGCCAGTGTAAGTAACACAGAAATGCAGTCTCCAAAAGAGAGAGAGAGAGAGAGAGAAGCATGCCTTTAATCCCAGCAGAGGCAGACAGATCTCTGTAAAACTGAGGCCACCCTGGTCTACTGAATGAATTCTAGGCCTGCTGGGGCTACAGGGAGACCCTATCTCAAAAAGACAGAGAGAGAGAAAGAGACAGAGACAGAGACAGAGAGAGACAGAGAGAACAGCAGGGAGAGGCTGACCCACAGTTCAATAATGACTGGACTATTAGGTCTCGACACACCCTAATTCAAATCCCAGCTCTGCCATTTGCCATCCAGGAGAACCTGGACAACTTAATAAACCTCAAAGAACTCATTTATACTCATTCTAGGCAGCTAATAGCTAATTGCTGCTTCAGAGAACTTCTGGGAGGGGTTGTTTTGTTTTTAATGAGAAAAATCCACAACCCAGGCACTCAGAGCAATGCCTGGCGCGCTCACCACGCACTCAGTGAGCAACAGCTGAGACAGGTCTCTGGCTCTAACCCTCCACTTTCACCCTCTCTGCTTGCTTTCTTATCTGTTCCCTCTGGTCATCCTCATTTCCATCTGCCCTTGGCTCCTATGCTCCATCCCTTATAACAGTACCAACCTAAGAGCCTTGGCAGCTGCTAGGCACCTAACACAGTGCTGTGTCCTGCACCCATATTACCTCATAGAAAGCCTAGGAGACAGGAACTATTATTAGCCCCACTTTATAAGTTCAGGTTCTCTAATGTTCCCAAGGTCACACCCAGCAGAGCTGTTGTCCTTGCAGTGTGGGCTGCTAGCCACTCCACTGTTTTGCCCCCACATCTCCAGACCAAATATCCAGAAGCATCTTGTAAAACATGCCATTCTCAAGGCCAGCTGAGCCTGCATCACTGGAGTTGGCACCAGAAACAGGCATCCCAGTCCCGGTGACTCTGAGAAATAGGATTTTATGACCTCTGCCCTACACATGGATTTGTCTGACCACCAGATCTAATGTGGAACCCCGTTTTGTCTGCTGCCTGACCTTGCCCTCAATCATGCAACTGCAGTATTACGTCTCCCCTCTCCCAACCTACTTCCTTCCTAGGACTGCCAACCCAACACAACACCCAGATTCCTCATCTTCTTGCTCTTCCAGCAGCATCACCACAGGAAGGTGGGGATTTGTCTGTCCTCACAGCTGTACCATCAGCACAGGGCAGCATCTAGAGCTCCGTGAGACCTGGCTGGATAAACTGAGTGGGTAACTCTTCTTTGGGAGTTTTACTTCATGTTTTCTATGTGACATTTCAGTCCCATACTTAGGTCTTGTACATGGCTGTGTCTCCCATATCTGGTACAGTGCCTGGCACTGGACTACGCAAGTCCTGAAGAGTTGTAAACTGAGCTGGGGATGCAGCTCAGGAGTAGAGTACTTGCCTTGCATGCATGAGGCCTTCCTACCAAATTAGATAAACCATCATCCTAGCAAGGCATCAGGATACACAGAAGAAAATAAAGGAGGTTAGGAAGAGAAGGAGGGAGGGAGGAAGAAATCTTCGTCCTGAGGCCGAGGGGCAGTCAAGACCGGCTCCAGCTCCAAGAATAAGCCAACGGGGCTGCCCCTGCTTCTTGTCCTCCCCACCCCCATCATCCATCCTCCACAAGGACTCCTGTTCAGACCTAAGTCAGATCACACTCTACTCTAAATCCTCAGACTCTCCTGCCTTACTGAGCATAAAAGCCAAGGTCTGACTGTGGATCACTCCCAACCCCATTCTCCTCAGCATCACTTGCTTCAACCACAGCAACCTCAGGGCCTTTGCACTTCTTCTGACTAGAACATTCTCCTCCCTCAGATAGCTACACTGCTGTTTCCTCATTTCCTTCAAGCCTCAACTCAAAAGTCACCTTCACAATCTTCCCTGACCAACCTACAGTGACCACCAGCACCCCCTCATGGGCCCCTCCAGCCTCTGATCTTATTCTTGTCTTTCTTGTACCTTGGGTTGTCACTGAACTTTTTTTGCTGTTGGTATTCTGGGTTTTGTGTTTTAGGACAGGGGCTCATTCTGTAGTCCAAGCCAGCCTAGAACTCTCTATATAACATAGGCAGTCCTCCTGCATCAGGCTCCCAAGTGCTGGAATTACAGACATGAGCCACCATGCCCAGCCTACACATGAATTACATATCTGTCTTACCACTTATCTCCCCAGTAGAGTGTGAACTCCAAGGCCACTGGTGCTCAATCAGATGTACTGACTAAATGCAAGAATGCTTATAGAAGTAAGCAGGCCCTGCTGAAGGACTGCTGAGGGACCGTTTTACAGCCAAAGTGTCCAAGTTCATACTGTGTATCAAACAAAAACACATTAAAAAATTAAAAAAAAAACCTGCCTGGCATGGTGGCACATGCCTTTAGTCCCAGCACTTAAGGGGCAGGGGCAGGTGGATCTCTGTGAGTTTAAGGCCAGCCTGGTCTACATAGTGAGCTCCAGGCCCCTGGGGCTACAGGGAGACCCTGTCTCAAAAAGACTCCCCCCCAAAAAAAACCTTCCAAAGTCATGATCAAAATAACATCAAAAACTGATCTTCCTAGGAATTCTGGCCCTTCGAAACCATTTTGCAAGATTGAAGGTTGAAGGGGGAAAAGCAATTTCAAAGCAAAGATGGTTTTCCTTTTTTCTCTTTTCTTCTGAGGCAGTCTCACTTTAAAGCCCTGGCTGGCTTCCTCTACCTCCTGAGCCCTGGGATTACAGAAAAGCGCCACCGTGCCCAGCTCTCTTTCTTTTTTACTTCCTTTTTTTTTTTTTTTTTTTGGTTGAGACAGGGTCTCCTTGTAGCCCCAACTGGCCTGGAACTCACTATGTAGACCAGGCTGGCCTCGAACTCACAGAGATCCGCCTGCCTCTGCCTCTGCCTCCCAAGTGCTGGGATTACACCCGGCTCTGATTATGGCCATTTTTCACTGAGCTAATAACTTTATTGGATAACTTAAGAATTCTTCTCCAGGGGCTGGAGACATGGCTCAGTGGTTAAAAGCACTGGCTGCTCTTGCAGAGGACCCAAGTTCAGTTCCCAGCACCCATCAGTAATTCCATTTCCGAGGGATCCGACACCATCTTCTGACCTTCTCAGGCACTGCACACATAGGTGCTCTTACATGCAGATAAAACAGTCATATACATAACATAAAAAAAGAATTTTTAAAATTTTTTAAAAAGAATTCATCACAGTATTTTGTAATATTTATAATACAGTAGTTTACCTGCCGCTATTGGGACTTAAAGACCCCTCTGTTTTTACTCACTTCAAATGCTATTGCCCAACTACAGTCATGTAGGCCTGTTATCCCAGCACTTGAGAGGAAGACAGAAGGATCAGGAGTTCAAAGCCACCCTGAGCTACATAGTAAGTCCAAGGGCAGTCTGGACTACATGAGACCCAGTCTTTAGAAACAGAAAAAAAGTTTTAAAATATAGTTTGTGTGATTACAGAAACCATAAAATAATGCATAATCAGAAACAGCTGGGCAGGGTGGCACATGCCTGCATCCCAGCACTCATGAGGCAGACGCAGGAGGATTGAGTTCAAGCCAGCCTGGGTTATACAGTGAGACTCTGCCTCAGGGAAAAAAGAGGATTCATGATAAGAAAATTAGTTAACAACAGTGTCAGCTGATGTGAAGGTTTTATTTCTACTGCTTCCAAATGGGCAGGGCTCCGTGAAGGGGCCACGGTACCCCAACACTATGATAAGATGTGCCATTACATTTCTAATTCAGAGAACTAAAGTGAGTCTGCTTGCTTTCTAAACACAGCAGCTAAGCTTTAATTGGTTTTGGCCTGGTTTGCTATTTTCTAGCTGTGTGACATCATACAAGTCATTTTTTTCACTGTCTGCAAAATAACAGGCATGCTGTAAGAAGGAAATGGATCAGTCTGCCTCAGTCCATGTAGCCATGCCCCATATCCTGGGCTGGGCCTGCATCTCTTACCCTCATCAACCGGACTTTGGCCTGCACCTTCCCATGATGCACCGGCTCCCTTCTGCGCTGTGCTAGAAGATTCTTCAGCGGGTTTGTCATCCCTACAGAGAATTGGGACCCCACTGCTGGGGACAGACAGAAGAGGGTAGAGGGTGAGGGTATAGATAGGCCTGGGACTAGGTCCAAGTAACTAGAGGGGCCCAGGCCCCATCCCTACCCACTCACAGCCTTACCATATGACATGGACAAAGGACCAAACTTTCCCCCCAACAAAGACACTCCTAGCCCCACTCTGGGCCTTGCTATGGGGAGGGACAAGCCCAGAGGAATGCAGTTGGATGGAGATGAACAGAGGGAAGGATGGGCTAGCAAGGGCAAATGGCCAGGGGCAGCATGTCTCCCATCCCCTGCAGACAGTAAGTGCCATGGCACAATAATCCACAAAGGGTGAATGTAATGGAAACACTAAGATAAACAAGGCCAACCTCCACTCTCAACCACTCAACCAGAAAGGGAGTCAAGAACTCCCTCTCTATGTCCTGCCAGTAGCTGGCACAGCATGGGGCGGAGGGCAGATGCAAGAGCAGCAGACCAAATCCAAGCCCCTGCTCTCCCCACCTGGCTGATGAAAAGGTCAGGTGATGCGGGTGGAAACAAGAACTAAAGAAGGCTAAGCTTTCTAGTAGTTCTGTCACCTGGACAGGCCACATGGCCCACTGTCCTTCAGTCCCTCCTCCTGTAAAATGGGAATAGCCATGCCCACCTCATAGGTGTGTCATGAACACTAAGCAAGCAGTCACTATGCCCTAAGGTGTTTACACACTGCCTGCCACAGCTTCAGGGCTGGATAGTCGTTGCTAATTACTATTATTTCTAATGACCTGAGAATTGGGACTACTGCGTCTACACAAAACTCCAACTGGCCATCTCTGCAATACTATGAGTTGTGGTTCAGTGATGGCACTTGGAGGACAGATGCTAGAATCACTGCTTCTGGGTTGCAGGTGTAGGTCAGTGGGTGGAGTGCTTGTCTAGCATGCACAAAGCCCTGGGTTCGATTCCTAGTACCACATAAAGTGGGCAAGGTAGTACAAGCCTATAGTCCCAGCACTCAGGAGGTAGAGGCAGGAAAACCCGAAGTTCAAAGTCATCAACTTCATAGCAACATCAAGGCCAGCCTGGGATCCCTGCTTCCTCTTACGCCATCCTGATGAACAGATAACCACACAGCTCCTGCCTCAGTCTCCACTAACATCCCTGCTGTACATGCAACCCCGTTCACATGGGAACCACATTATTTCTTTAACAGATCAGATCCTTAATCCTGGGAAATGTTGGTATTAAGTATTGAGATGACAAACTGCTCTTACTAAATGTGGACTAACTATAGGAATTTTTTTTTGAGGCAGGGTTTCATGTAGCCCCAGCTGGTCCTGAACTTGTTATGTAGCCATGAATAGCCTTGACCTCCTGATCCTCCTGCCTCTACATGCCATGGTCTGGGATTACGGATATGTGCCCACGCCTGGCAATGTCCCACATGATTTTGTGTGCTCGTTGACCAGCTGGATATCCTCCTTGGTGATGTCTGCTCCTGTCTTCTGTCCACTATCTAACGGAATAGCCTGTTTTACTGCTGGGCTCTGGAAGTTCTTGTTAGCAGTCAGCTACCACATACAAGTCCTTTGTCAGATATGAGCTTTAAAAGTATCTTCTCCAAATGGCCTTTCATCCTCTTAAAAGGTTATTTCACAGCGGGGCACGGTGTCATGGTGCACGCTTTTAGCTCCAGAAGCAGAGGCAGGCGGATCTCTGTGAGTTCAAGGCCAGCCTGGTCTACATAGTGAGTTCCAGGCCAGCTGGGGCTACAGGGAGACCCTGTCTCAAAAAGACCAAAAAAAAAAAAAGGTTATTTCACAGAACAAAACTTTTCAAATATTTTTTTACAGTTTTTGTGTGTAGGTGTGCATGTGGACATGCATGTGTGTGTGCCACAGTGTGCATGTGGAGGTACAGAAATCTGTTTTATCTCTCTCCACCATGCGGGTCCCAGAGATTGAACTCAAGTCATCAGACTTGGTGGCAGGTGCCTCGACCCACTGAGCCATCTTCTAGTCCCCAAAATTTTTAAATTGATGAACTCCCGTCTGCTTTTCTTCCCTGAATTGAGCTGTTGGTACCACATCTAACAAATTCTACACTTAGCCACAGGCCCCAAAGACTTTTCTCACCTGCCTTTTCCCAAAAGTTTTACAGACTTAAAGTGTATTGTTAGTTACGTTTCTATTATTATTTTATTTTATGTGTATGAGTGTATTGCCTGCATGTGTGTAAGTGCACCCACGTCATCCAGTGCCCTCAGAGGTCAGAAGGCATCAGATCCCCTGGAACTGGAGTTATGGATGGTTGTTAGCTACTATGTGGTTGCTGGAAATTGAATCTGGGTCCTCTGCAAGAGCAGCCAGTACTCTTAACTGCCAAGCCATCTCTCTAGCCCTAGTCAAGTTTTTTTATAAGTTGTGAGATTTGGTGTCTATGCAGCTGAGTATAGGTTAACAATAGACTTCTTGCCTACTTATACACAGGGTCTTGGGTTCAATTCTCAATACAGGAAAAAAAAAGGAGTCAGCTGTCCATACTTATAAGGACACATTTCCATTCCCTCACTTGCTAACACTGGGGGCATCAAGGAGGGAGCTGATCATTCATCCTGGCTGTTGGCTGTTTGCTTAATCAACACAGTGCCTGCAGGACTGAGCGGAAGCTGAGTTTCAAATTCCTGGCAGGAGCAGGCAGTGTTAAGACTCTCCCTTCAGGGTAGTGTTATAGGGTCCAGTAACAAACCCCACCCACCTCCACTCCCACCCAGCAGTAATGAGACTGAGGAGGTGTTGTAGAGGGAGACAGGCCACCGAAAGGCTCCCCTACCCGGTGTATCCACATGACCACAGTGAGAACCTGAGCCTCAATCCCAACTCAGCCCCAATGAGACAAACAAGGAGGGCAGATGTGGGCAGCTGCCAGGCTCCTTTCTTGCCCCCTGGTGAGTCAGTGTTGCCCATAGGAGAGTTGGCCTTAAATTCCCCACTCCCAGGCAATGAAGCCATGTAAGTAATTACATACCTAGCACATCTACCTAGGTGAGTCATAACATGAACCTCACACTCCAGAATACTAAAGGAGTGTTTCCAAATATCTGTTATTTAAAGAGGTACCAGAGAAGATGACTCAGAAGGCGTTCTAATTTCTTTTTAATTGCTGTGACAAAACACTCTGACCAATACCAACTTGGGGAGGAAAGGGTTTATTTTATCTTACAACTTCCAGGTCACAGTTCATCACTGAGGAAGCCAAGGTAGGAACTCATGGCAGGAACCTGGAGACAGAAGCTGAAGCATGGGCCACAGAGGAATGCTGCTTACCGACTTGCGACCCTGGCCCATGCTCAACCTGCTTTCTCATACAATACAGGCCCACCTGCCCAGGAGGTGGCACCACCCACAGTGGGCTGGGCCCTCCACCTCACTCAAGAAAATGCCCCACAGACATGGCCATAGGCCAGTTCAATGGAGGAAATTCCCCAATTGAGGCTCCCTCAACCCAGGTGTGTCAAGTTGACACCTAAAGCATCCAGAACAGAGAGTAAAGTGCTTGCTGCACAAGCATGAGGAACTGGGTTCAGATCTCCAGTACTCATGTAAAAGCCAGTGCAACAATGCACATCTCTAATCCCAGCACTGGAATGCAGAGAGAGGTGGACCCTGGGGGCTTGCTGGCCAGCCAGCCTAGTCAAAATATGAGGTCCAGCTTAGTGAGAGGCCTTGTCACATAAAATAATGTGAGCAGCTATAGAGAAAGATATCAGAAGTCAACCTCTGCTTTCCACATATACATACATGGGTGACTGCATCCTCACACACATATGTACAAACGCACAATAAATTAATTAAATATATAGATGAGTGTTGGGTCTGATACGGTTGAATAAAGCTCTACATAAATATTCTCACAATAATCTTTAAAATTTTTTTGATTTATCTTTATTTTATGTACAAGGGTAAGTGCACCTGTGTTTCAAAATACCAGCGGATACCAAAAGGTGGTGTCAGATCCCCTGGAACTGGAGTTACAAATAGTTATTAGCTGCCATGTGGGTGCTAGGCACTGAACCCAGGTCCCCTTTTAACCCTTGAATCATCTCTACAATCTCATGTTTTTTGAGACAGGGTGTTGTGTGTCTTTTTGGAGAGCTGTGAACATCTCTTCACCCCAGATAGGGCACCAACAACAGACCAAATGATTCCACCCAAGTCTAGGCAGTGGAACCAGTGAGTTTACTGAGGTTACTTAAAGGAGTATGGGGGAAGGGTTATTTACAGGAGCACAGATGACTGAAAAGCCACTGTATCACCCAAAGCCCATGCCGGCACGGCCCCAGCTCACACAGGCTGTGTCCCTGAAGATCCCGGTACTACTCTCAGCTGCAGCTATGTATGTTACGGCCTTGAGGCAGGGCCCTGTGAATCATGTTTAGGAACTTCCTGAGCCTTGTAAATTTTCTTTACTTCCTGAACCCTGTACATTTCCTTTATTCCTCCTTCAGGAAATAATGTTTCAATTAGGAGGAAACAGCTAAACAACACTGCATCTTTCTTTGTAGCCCAGGCTGACCTTGAACTCATAATCCTCCTGCCTCAGCCTCCAGAGTGCTGGCATTACAGGGATGCACTACCATGCCTAGCCACAACAATCCTTTTAATGTCCTGTGACAAGACTAAGGCTCAGAAAGATGAAAGACTTTTCCAAGTGAGTGAAGGGCAGAGCCAAACTGTTGCTTCAGAATTAACCATAGACTGACCTGGCTCCTGAGGACACTCAAACCATTCACAGGAGGTGAGTGGAGGAAGTTATTCTTCACTATGTATAGGCCTCAGAACTGGGCTAACCTGCTCCAGAGAAACTGAGGCCAAAATCAGAAACAGACCAATTTTGTTTGTTTTTTGTTTTGTTTTGTTTTTTGGTTTGGTTGGTTGGGGTTTTGTTTTTGTGTTTGTCTTTTTGAGACAGGGTTTCCCTCTAGTCCCAACTGGCCTGGAACTCACACATACAGGTTATGTCATCCCTTGGCAGTATTCATATTGGTGGATTTGAGATTTTTGAGCACAGATGTATATGTGCCTCTTAGGTTATTATAGGAAATTTAAACAGCATTTTACAAAGCAGCAGATATTTTGGGCAAGTATGGGGTGGGTAACTTCCCAGTAATGTGATGCTAGTACAATCTTGGCTGTTTTAACAAGGAAGCACATGGTAACGGGTGCTTCCTGAAAGACCACTACAAGGGGCAGCGTTTTCCAAGGTGCTTGCACGCTGCCGCGTTTATGTTTGTCTGCCCTGTCTTATCCCAGCCTGAGACTGAGCTCAGAGTGGTCTTTATGATTTAATTACAAGGAGAAGCTTCCAAAGTCCTGTTATGAACAGTATTCCCAGCATTGCCCCGCAACAGTCCCCAAGTGCTTCTGCCCACCTGGCTCAGGTCTAGTCGAAGTCTTCATTTTGCTCCTGTGGCCCCGGGGTGGTAGAAATGGAGGCAGAGTAGCTTGCTTCCAGTTATACTCTGACCATTGCTAAAGGACATAATGCAACCACACGTAACACAGTCAGTGACAGGGCTAGTGGATTCAAGTTCCAGCTTCAGCCTTCTCAGGTACCTGTATCTCTAAAGGAAGGGACCTTAGCTCTGAGCCTCGATTTCCTCTTGCAGAGTGGCCCTAATAACACAGCCTAACTCTAAGGGTTGGTGCGAGAATTCTAAGAAATATTTGTAAAGCCTGCAGTGTTCCTTAAGTATTGGCCATCCGCTCCTTTCCTTTTGTTGTTTTGTTTCTCAGCCAGCCAGAACTCACTAAGGACATCTAGGCTCTGAGGTGGTAAGAACCTAGAGAAATTTAGATCCTGGGTTTTGGCACCAAAAAAAAAAAAAAAACCAACTCAAGAAAAAAAGAAATAGAAGTCATGGGGCTGGAGGAGGATGGCTCAGCAGCCTAAAACAGCGTCGTCTCTGTTCCCATTGTGTTTTGACACAAAAAAAAAAAAAAAAACCAACTCAAGAAAAAAAGAAATAGAAGTCATGGGGCTGGAGAGAGATGGCTCAGCAGCGATGAGCGCTGGCCGCTCTTGCACAACAAACACCCAAGTTCATTCCCAGCACCCACATGGCAGCTAACCACCTTCCCTAACTCCAGTTCCAGGGGATTCATCGCCCTCTTCTGTCCTCTGCAGGCATTGCATGACGCAGGTGCACTCACATGAAGGCATAACACTCACATAAAATAAAAATAAATTTATAAAGTTTTTAAATTAAAAAAAAAAGGCATGGGAAAGACCCAATACCCACCCTCTGGAAACCAGAGTAATTTATCTTTACACTCTGATAGTGAGGGGGGCTAGCTGGGGTTCAGAGACTTGCTCCAAGTCCCACAGCAAATGTGTGACACATCTGGGCCTGGTGTTGACATCCAGTCTCTATCATGCACAGCTGTCACAACCACGGGAGTTGAGAGCAAATGGATTGCAAGGCCAGTGCGCACCCCCCTCCAGCCCCCAAATTCCGCCCTACCCTTCCAGAACTTACCAGTAACTGCAACTTGGGAGCTGAGGGAGTCCCAGAGTGGTCATATCTGTAGAGTTAGGGTGGGAAAGAATTTCCATCATTCCAGCCCAAGGATTGCAGCTCCTTGCAAAGGATCAACCCTGAAACGGCTTTTCTGCATCCCCGCTTTTCCAAACACTCCATCCGGCTGAAGCTTGCCGAGAGCCGGGTGCGGGGCCCTCCCCGAGTGGGACATAGGTGCGGGTTGCAGGCTGGAGCGCAGAGGCCACCGCGCGCCACGCCTGCCGCCACTTACTTCTGCTGAAAGTCCTCCGTCATTGGGGAAAACAGAAAAGGAATCCTGATCCTGGGGTCTCAGATGCTCACTTCGTGTGTCTCAGATTAGATCCCAACTAGACCAGGCACTTTCGTTTGCGTCCGATCTCCAAGGAAACACGACTACGGAGCGCCGAGGGGGACACACTTCAGATGCAAAAATGCAGCTCACTTCATGGTCTTCCCAACAAAGTTTCAAAGTTCTCTCCGTTTGCACCACTCAAAAGCCTAAAAAATTCTGTTTCTTCACTATCATCAAAGTTTCATCACTTCCTATTTCACTAAAAATATTATGGAGATTGGGAACCGGACCTGTGCATCTTACTGATCCCCCCAACACACACACACACACACACACACACACACACACACACACATCTACACACTCTCCCCACCTCTGTAAGCCAGGACTAACTGCCTCCTGGAACCAATTTCTACACTCATGCTCTGAATCTTTTTTTTTTTTAATTTTTATTTTATGTGTACGAGTGTATTGCCTGCATGTATGTGAGTGCACTCCACCCGTGTCATGCAATGCCGCGGAGGTCAGAAGAGGGTTTCAGATTCCCCTGAAACTGGAGTTAAAGTAGCCACCATGTGGGTGCTGGGGCTTGAACCTGGGTCCTTTGCAAGAGTAGTCAGTGCTCTTAACCACTGAGCCGTCTCTCCAGCCCCTCGTGGTCTGAATCTTATATGCTCCCATTTTCTCAAAGATACTGATCCAGCACAAGATCAAGCCAATCCACACCCCAGCATGGAGTATAAGACCAGCTGGGGCTACAGGGAGACCCTGTCTCAAAAAAAGCAAAACAAAACAAACAACAACAAAACCTCACAAGTATAATCATGTGGTCAGAGCAATGGAGACAAGAAAATAGTAGGAACCAACATAATTGAAATTATGACCCCTCCCATGAGCCTGGAGCTGTGATTGTCTCCTAAAAACCTGGAGATGTGGTCTCCCTCCTGTGAACCTGGAGCTGTGGTCACCAACCGTGAGCTATGGTTCCACATTTCTCTGGTGATGGGCTGATGGTGGAGCAGAGTGGAGGATGGAAGACTTCCGACGTTGGGCAGCACTTTCAGCCTTCTCTGAGTGGCTGTATTTCCCCAGAACCCCCCACCCCGACCCCAGGTCCTAGGCTGTGTATGGCAATCGTTTTGCCTCTGTATTGGACTTATGCCGGGGACTGGAGAAGTTTCTGTCATTTGCAGATTCTAGTCTTGGGAGAGCTAATTCTCAAGAATGGGCTTCCCACCTCCCTTGATGGCCAGCTATGGTCTTGACTCCGCATGTGGTCCTGGGCACCCAGGCCTTGGCTTTAGAGCTTTCCCATTCCCAGGCACCAAGAGGTTTTTCATTATTTTTTCTATTACTCTTCTACAGCCCCAGTTACCTTCACCCGTGCCCCACAGAAAATGTAGACCAGGCTGGCCTCAAATTCACAGAGCTCCACCTGCCTCTGCCTCCCAAGTGCTGGGATTACAGGTGTGCACCACCACGCCTGGCCTGATTTTCCTTTTTTAAACTTATTTTTATTTTATGTTATATACATATAACATAAGTGTATAAGTGTTTTGCCTGTGTGTATGTAAGTGTACCTATGGAGGCCAGAAGAAGGCTTGGGTTCCCTGCAACTGGCGTTATAGAGGATGTTAGCTGCACATAACTGCTGGGAATCCAGCCCCAGTCCTCTGCAAGAGCAGCCAGTGCTCTTAACCACTGAACCATCCTTCAAGTTGCATAAATGTAATTTTTTTTTAAAGTTTATGACCAGACTGGGCTACAGAGTGAGTTCAAGATCAGACTGGGCCACTTGGTGAAACCCAGTCTCAAAATAAACCGTAAAAAGAGAACTGTAGGGGCTGGAGAGATGGCTCAGCAGTTAAAAGCACTGACTGCTCTTGCAGAGAACCTGGGTTTGATTCCTGGAACCCACATGGTGGCTATGAATCGTCCTTAACTCCAGTTCCAGGGGAATCTGAAGTCCTCTTCTGACCTCCACAGCATTGCACGACATGGGTGCACTCACATACATGCAGGCAATACACTCATACACATAAAATAAAAATAATAAAATTTTAAAATTTAAAAAAAGAAAACTGGATACAGCTCAGTAGTACTGTGGATAGAGCTCAGTAGTGGAGTGCTTGCCCAGCATGTACAACACATTAGGTTTGGTCCTCCCAACAAAAAAAAAAAGGGGAGAGATTTCAAAAAACCACTGGAAAGTTTTATGATTTAAGCTTTGTTACTAGATATGGGGTCAGTATACAAAATTCAACTACATCCCCTCTAGCAACCACAAAACAATACATAATTTTGTTTTTTATTTATTTATTTTTGAGACAGGGTCTCATGCATCCTAAGCTTGCCCTGAAATCACTATATAGCCAAAGGTGGCCTAGAACTTCCTTTCTAAAATTAGCATACTTTAATTATACATAATAATGAGTTTCACTGTGACATTTTCATATATGTATACAATGTATTTTGATCATATCCCTTTCTTATCCCCCCCTCCTGGTAACCTTCTTTCTCTTCCCAATTATTCCTAGTCACCTTTTCATGTCTTTTTTTTGGGGGGGGGTCTTTTTGAGACAGTTTCCCTGTAGCCCCACCTGGCCTGAGACTCACTATGTACACCAGGCTGGCTGACCTCAAACTCACAGAGATCCACCTGCCTCTGCCTCCCAAGTGTGGGATTAAAGGCATGTGTCACCACACCCAGTTCCTTTTCATGTCCTTTAAATTTTTTTTTTACTGGGCTGGAGTGATGGCTCAGTAGTTAAGAGCACTCACTGACTGCGCTTGTAGAGGACCTGGGACCTGGGTTGGATTCCCAGCACCCACATGGCCGCAAACATCCCTCTGTAACTCATTTCAGGGAATCCAACACCCTCTTCTGACCTCCACCGGCATTGCATGACAGGGGTGCACTTACACACATGCAGGCAATACATTCATACACATAAAAATAAAATAATGGGGGGCAGGAGAGATGGCTCAGCAGTTGAGAACACTGGCTGTTCTTGCAGAAGACCCAGGTTCAAATCCCAGCACCCACATGGTAGCTAACAACTGTCCATAACTCCAGTTCCAGGGGATCTGACAGCCTCTTCTGTCCTCCGGCATTGCACAACATGGGTGCACTTACCTACATGCAGGCAATACATGCATACACATAAAATAAAAAATAAAAGTTAATAAATAGCTGGGTGTGGTGGCCCACACCTTTAATCCCAGCACTGGGGAGGCAGAGGCAGGCGGATCTCTGTGAGTTCAAGGCCAGCCTGGTCTACATAGTGAGTTCCAGCACAGCTGGGGCTACAGGGAGACCCTGTCTCAAAAACACCAAAAAAAAAAAAAAAAAGGAAAAAAAAATTCGCCTTGTATAAACTGGGATCTGAAGAAGAAAACCAATTAATTCAGATAAGGAATCCTTTCCATAGAACACAGGGAAGCTGAAGAAGTGCTTTGTCGCCCTCTGGTGGTTTAACAATGAAAAGACAGTACCAGGACCTCAATGACGAGCTAGCTCTAGCTCAGCACTTAAATGTATCACACAGTGTTAGTGCTTCATGCGTCTCCTTTAGTCCTCAAACAATCCTATGCTGTAGGAACTTCTGTCTTAAGTTTACTGAGAAGAAAACTGAGGCATCAAACAAGCAAAGCAGTTTAGCCAAGGCCACTCAGCTCTTAACTGGGAGAACTTACCTTCAAATCCAGGCATCCTGGCTCAAGTCTGAACTTTACAACCCCTATCTCAAGAGGCTACTAAATAATCTGTTCTGGAGTACATCCAGCCTCAGACCTGCTCTGATGCTTTCCAAGAACAACTCAAAGTAAATATCCAATGGCTTCAAAGCCCATGGGGTTGACATGAGGCCACTCAGCTCTTAACTGGGAGAACTTACCTTCAAATCCAGGCATCCTGGCTCAAGTCTGAACTTTACAACCCCTATCTCAAGAGGCTACTAAATAATCTGTTCTGGAGTACATCCAGCCTCAGACCTGCTCTGATGCTTTCCAAGAACAACTCAAAGTAAATATCCAATGGCTTCAAAGCCCATGGGGTTGACATGAGTTTCATCAACAGCAGAAATGGAGTAACCTCACAAAACCTGCTCAGGAGCAACCCTCCCCCATCGGGGGCTGAGGCTTCAGTTGGCTCTTCTAGGATATACAGCTCTCACTGCAGTCCCAGACACCTTACCAACTGGACACTGAGCACCAACTCCCACGTGTCTGCTACCTGCTCTCTACAGCTCTGTCTTGTGTTAAAACTCCAAGGATCTCAACACCCTCATGAGCAAAGAATCCTTGTGCTTTCCTCTACCCTCCTTCCCTCCAGCTACCTGAACCTAATCAGGTACTATGTCCTATAGGAAAGATAACATATGATTCTCTCTGGCCCACCCTTTCCCTCACTTCCTCTAGCATCAGCTCCTAGCCCCTTTTTTGTGTCCACCAAGACTGTAACCAGACCCTCTGCCACTGAGCCGTTTCCATGCATGCTGCCGTCCACACTTCCAAACACTCCTGCTCTAGCTGCCCAAGATACTAACACCCAGTCAACACTCCAAGCAGTAGTAAGCCCCAGGCTTTGTATCGGCCACTCTATTATCCCATCAGCTCAATTTCTCCCTTTCAAATGATGTAACTCATAATGTATTCTTAAAGTTAAAGACTTACTTAAAACAAAACTTCCCTTCATCCTTGTCTCTCTACCTGCCGCTGGCTTTTCTCTTCCCACACATCCCACTTCTCCAGGCCAATAAAAAATTAAAAAACAGACTTCAGTGAAAATTAGACAATAGGGCTTTACTAATATGGAAACAACTGAATTCTGTTTCAGAGCAAATTTAAGCTTGTTAACAATCATTCATTTCTAATTGCTGTCATTATGAATCAAGTTTTATATTCCTTGTTTTATGCATGCATTGTTTTCATGAATACAAAATATCAAGTCCACTCCACTTCACTGGTTCTCTCTCTTTTCCTCTTTCCACAGTGCTGGGGATTGAACCCTTGTAGATACTAAACAAACACTCCACAACTTAGCTACGTACCCTCACAGTCTGCTGATTCTCCTCCAAAGTTCCAAGCTCTTCTGCTTGCCCACCTAATACTAGAATACTCCAACTCCCAGACCCACTTCTTTTCCCACTTTCTGTCTGC